CATTCGAAGAACCACGTTCCGGCTGCGTCCGCGTCAAAGAGATTTGCGATGACGCGTGGGTGGTGCGTGCCTAAATATATTAGCCAATGTCTATGACAAAGTCAAGGTTTGTCGCCGGTCTTTTGTAGATGTCAACTGTAGGTCACGGTCCCGAAATTCTCGAAGTACCTTATAATCTAATGTAAATGCCGTTAAAATAGGATATTATAATTGTGTTATAATTGTATACTTCTGATGCTAAGTGTATAATAGCTAGTGGTGAAAACTTTATGGGCCCACATATCAGTGTGTATTTTGTACTATTTATTTTATGTAAGTGCTGTTTGTTTTCCTAATCAATAAAAATAAAATAAAAATAAAATCTGTTATTAATTAACGATGTTATTTTTTTATGTTTTTGATGTAACAGAGCTGGTGGTTCACCTGATGTTAAGTATCACCCGCCGCCACGTGTACCTCACTCACTGACGAAACGCAAAAGTGGAACACTCCCACTTCACGCCGGTCTTCTGTGAGATCGTGGTACTCACCCGGACGATGTAATGGATATCCAACGTATATCTAACGCCCGTGTGATTTCGCTTGCGGTACAAACCAATTGCTTTTTAAATCGCTGTCCCCGCTTCAAATACATACGACACTCATTAAATAAATTCTATTTACAAGTAAGAGTTGACGCCGATGTTCCCTGGGGGTGAGATACTTCCGCGAAGGTTGCGTGGGTCTGTCAGAAAATCATTGATAACCTGTTCTATGTATGCTTCTGTCCTGTTCTGAGCTATTTCAAGTCCTAAAATGTTAAACTGGCTTGTCAACAATCCTATTGACAATACCGTGGAGGGAAGTTCGGATTTTAATTCTGCTGAAATAAAATGTATTCAATTCTCTCACGTCAGCAACGCGCTTGATGCTTGCTTTCTAAGGCTTTTGTTGTAATTATGTATAAGAACATGAAGAAACTGGACTCGCTATCTATACGGGTCTAAATAAGTTGAAGCAATTATTTTGGGCCGTTTGGAAAAACTATGGGAGTCAATTTTTTACGATGCGCGCGCACACCGCAAAATGCGACACGATGCTTGGCAACAAATTTAACCTTGGCAGCCACTAACAACTTTTTAATAAACTTTTAGAACGAGCTTTGCTTAGATTGGGACTAGAGAACGTTGTGTAAAAATGTGTCCTAAATATTTATTTATTTATATTGAGATGATATCCTATCATCCCAATAGCGGCCTTTGTGTTTGATTTTTTTTTTAATTCCACTCATCCTCTTACGCCGAATTGGGAATGACTTTGAAAATTATTTGTGATTGTTACCACTTTATATTTATTCTTTTAATATTCCCTATTAGAATCATTGCATGTAAAATAATAAATATTCTAGAATAAGTAGGAACAGGTGGCGCTATCGAAAACTTTAATCGTACTAAGGTTTTGTTATTCAGTGTATTACTATACTTCGCTCAAGATTAAATTAAAACGCCTATACGTTCCGCGGATAGATTATATTTTCTGGTTCAGAACATCCGACACTTATAGTCAACTCAGACACATGTGGAATCTAATTTCCATACGTATAACCGATCGAGTAACCTCAAAATGTTACAAAACTTTTGATGAATTTTTAATTCTTTGTAGTCTGCTCTCAAATTAGAAATTTAAAATGAGAAAAAAATACGTAGATAAATTATCACAAAAAGAAATGTCCGTACTACCGAACAGTTTCGAAAGCTTATCTGAAAAAAAATCACACTACGTAATTCCTGAACGACTGCTAACAGCTAATGACACATTATCTGAAAAACACATTATACAGCGTGTCGTTCCCATCGCGACAATAAATGAACACACATATAGGGGATAACTTTTTAAAGTTGTATTAAACATTTAAATTCTTTAAACATCAATGTTTACAGAATTTTTAAATTTTCTAAAAGAAAGAATTTTAGAACACCCTTACCTATAAAAGCGTAACGTAAAGTTCATTTGTAAAGGTCACAAAGCATATGAATGGGTTGAATGAATTTAAAAGAGACAAAACATACTGTTAGAAGAAGAGACTTGTAATGCGACGCTGTGGCGCGAGTTGTTACAAATTTTGTTTCTTTTTTACTTAATTAGTTTGCCTGAAAAATATTTATTTTTAATTATGGATTTTGTTTAACGTTAATATTTTTTTATGATTATTGGCAAGTAGAGTTAGACGTGTGTTCATTTATTATCGCGATGGTAACGACACGCTGTATAACAAACAAATTATCTAGCTCGCGCGGTACGTTGCCAAGAACGCTTGCTGCATTTTCTCGCAGAATTGTTTTTTATTTTTAAAATTTAGAACGGTAAAAGAATTCGGCCTTTTTGCCACCAGCCACAGTAATGTTACATTATAAATGATAATGTTTATTGTAAAATTGGTCATAATGACAATGCACACAACCACAATTACACCCACACCAATTAAAGATCACATTGGTATCTCTATCTTTGAACTCAAACGGGTCAAGTCACTCGTGCACAGTGCACCATCTATTTTAATAACAAACCACTGTGATACGAAACATTGTGATAAGAGTTGCCTGTTGTTAGTTTTTTTTTTTTTACATTAAATATAGATAAAGGTTAAGTGATTACTTCTATAAAACGATGCGGCGTTCTTAGCACGCATATTTAAAATTTAAATTGTTGTCGGTTTTATTCGCATCTTGATTATCTGTGGCTCTTCGCGTCACTGCATGATGGTTTTGGCTCAGACTTTCTCTATAATAACAGACAGTGTGGCAACAGCTAACCATAATATTATTATTTAGTATACAACGTTCTTTAAACTGGTTATCCACTCATCTTCAACATCTACCAATTTAAATATTATAAAGAAGAATCGATAAACGAAAAAAAATCTATATATACTTTACCCATTTTATTTAAATTTGGCAAACTACGCAACGGATCTTCATGCGGTTTTTTTACTCGATAGGTAATATAGGTAATTCAAAATCGGATGCTTTATAAACGCGTCATCGCCGTAACGCGTTCCCGTTGCATTGTCTTCGTCGGTTATGCGCGATCATGTGTTTAGGATCCTATAAATATTTTAATTAACTCTAGGTCCAAATAAACCACTTCTGCAAGACAACATTCAATTAACACCTTTTGCGTACATCTGACACAAAAGTTACAATTTAAAAACCGGCGGAGGCCCGGTTTAACAATGACATTCATATGTCTAACGACTTACGCCCAGTGTCTGAAACACTGATCTTTTGAAAAATGTGGATTTACTTGTATGCGCTGCTGAGATACAGATTTGACAGCTGATTAGTTAATTTCTACGATGATCAATGTTTCAGAAACCGGGCGTCAGTCTGTCCCGTGAACATGAATGCTGAAAGCATTCGACGGCAATTGAAATTAAAAAATATACTTGATAAATCCGTACAAATAGTTTCATTCAGTAATGTACTTACATGCTGTTGTTATAATTAACGATTAAATCAACCTTTTTCCTCGCCCTAACCGACACTGTTACAGTATATTAAAAAGGCGTTTTATTTGTATTACATGATAGCTAGATATTAGGAACTTAGTTCTATTAAATTTACCCGTTTTTAATGATAGAGTCAAAAGCAATGATCAGAAACGTGAGACCATTTGTTAATCCTACGTATTCTTTAGGACTGTTAATTTTCACACGTCCCATCGGGTTTCGAACAAGGAAACTCAGTTCGGCAATCGAAACAATGTCATGTTATTATTTATGCAGTCAATAAGTTATATCATATTCACATAATAAAAAGGAATAAAAGTAAAAGTAAAGTAAAGTATCAGCCTATACATGTCCCATTGCTGGGCAAAGGCCTCCTCTGTACAGAGGGTATCAGGATATAGTCCACCACGCGGCCCCACTGCGGATTGGCGGACTTCACATATCTTCGAAATATTTTTTTGTTATTATTTCGAAAACATGCATATTTCCTCACGATGTTTTCCTTCACCGCTGAGCACGTGATAATTCGGCACTTAAAATTATTTCATTGGTGCCGGCACCGGGGATTGAACTCAGATTGCTCGAGTAGATTGAATTAAAGCCGAGCGCCCGGTCACTGAGCTATCACGGCTATGAAAAAAAAATAGAATATTCAAATTTCCAATAAATAATCATATTGACATGCTACTGACGAAAAAAATTTCATCTGAGGTAAAATTGTATAGTGACTTTCACATGACCTTACACTGCAATCGTATATTTATGTCCATTATTCGATTCTTTTTGTGTATTTAAATGTCTGCTCGACGGCTTGGCAAATAATTACGATGACTAATAATTATGCACCGTGTGGGAAACCAGCACAGCTGAGTGAATCATATTAAATGGAAGTGACGTTTTGAACTTTTGCACCTGCCAACTGGTGTGTATTCCGAGCAAGAGGGCTTTTCCCATCGACTTTCATTTCACTCATAGGACGTTTAAAGTAAAATTATTTCAGGAAATACTTTTACATTACATTTTCTAAACCCAAACATAGAAATTTTTATACTATGGATACTAGGTAGAACTAGATACGAGCATTATTAATAACCAACCAGCATCCATAAGAATTACTTTTATACTTTCAAAGAATATTAAAAAGAGAAGTAAAATGTGTTTATTTTTTTATATTTAATTTCAAAACACATATATTTTTACTTTTATTTAAACGTTTCCATTAAATATCTTCTGTAAGAAAAATACCTTTTAAATACGTATTAAATTGCTCGTGAAAAAAATCAAATTTTGGAAAAACATTAAGAATACATTATTAAGAAAATATTATGTTCATGACACAATGTTTTTCCAGTAGTCTGGATAGAGAAACTAAATTATAAATATGTATAGGCTACATTTACTTTTTTACTTTACAAATCATTTCATTGGACGACCTTGTTAAATAATTTGCGTTTAATTTTATTTTTGTTATTTAAGTGTCATAACATTATCGTTTTTTTTGTTTCTTTTTCAGCATAACAACAATAATTTAAACGACGGTGAGGCCATCCAACCCACGCAGCCCTTATTAGAGCCGGATCACGATCGACAGAAACCACCACTAGCCGGTAAATACATTATCCGTAAAACTTTACTAAAAATTAAAAACAATGATAAAAAATCGTTCGAGTTGAATTGAGTTTTTTTTTATGTGACAAAGTGGAAAACGAGCTGTCGGTTCACCTGATGTTAAGTGATAACCATGGACATTTGCAACACCCGTAGGGTTGCAGAAGCGTTGCCACCTTTAAATAAAATGGGCCCCGGCTACCTCAGGCCGTGATAGCTCAGTGTCCGGGCGCTCGTCTTTAATTCAATATACTCGAGCAACCTGAGTTCGATCCCCGTGCCCGGCACCAATGAAGTTTTTAACTTTAAGTGCTGACTTATCACGCGGTGAAGGAAAACATCGTGAGGAAACCTGCATATTTTCGAAATAATAACAAAAAAAAATTTTTTCGAAGATATTTTATGTGAAGTCCGCCAATCCGCAGTGGGGCCGCGTGGTGGACTATAAGTCGCTCTGATACCCTCTGTATAGAGGAGGCCTTTGCCCAGCAGTGGGACATGTATAGGCTGTTACTTTACTTTACTTACTACCTCACTTACCAGACGAAACGCAGAAGTGTAGCACTTCTACTTTACGCCGGTCTTCTGTGGGGTCGTGGTTCTTACCCGGACGGACCTGCCCATTTGTGCAAAAGTGAACACCATTGCGTGACCCTTACAGTTAGTTATTGAGTTAAACAAATATCCAATTTTAATGTTATATGTGACTCTATAGAAAGAAAGTGCATGACATTTTTTCCATTAAATATGTGACGTTTGATTAATACTGAATTTCCAGCAATAATTAAATGTGTTGCTAAAGGCATAACAATAATTGTGTCCGGAAGAGAAACGCTAAAATAGGTAATTTCTAAGTTATTCACTCGATTTCTCGAAGATATTGCATATTGAGTCATCAAATACAAATAGTATAATGTGCTAGGTCATTTTTAAATTACTAGCGACCCGGCTTCGCACGGATGCAATCTTGAATCACTCTATTTAGTAAAATCTCATCAAGATCCGTTGTGTAGTTTTAAAGATGTAAGCATATATTAAACTATGTAGTGACACGTTGCAGTAATGATATTCGATTTAAATCTATTTTATACTAGCTGTGCCCGCGACTTCGTCCGCGTGGAATTTAAAATAAAAAAAATCTAAAATAAAAGAAGCCTAAGTTACTCCTTATTACATCAGTGTGTATCTGTCAGTGAAAGTCCCGTCCAAATCAGTCCAGCCGTTTCAGAGATTAGCCAGAGAACAAACAGACAGACAGACAGACAGACAAACAAAAATTGTAAAAAAATGTTATTTTGATATGTGTATCGTGTATAAATCCATGTGCATTTAGCAAAAAGCGGTTATTTTAATATTACAAACAGACACTCCAAGTTTGTTTATCTGTATAGATACTGAAGTATTAATAAATGATTTGTCTCCAGGACCTGAAGTCGACGATTTGGACGAGGGTTTTCCCAAAGACGCTTCCCCTTACCCCGGCATTGACGACGGTCTTCTAGAGCCAGGGGATAAGAAACCTGAAGTACCCGATGGCGGTAAGAATATTCTTTGTAACGTGTAGTTTGCTGTGAGCTCGGCGGCTTTGCTTCGTTGGAAGAGGCTCGCACACGACCGACGGACGCGGGATGTAGATATATGTAGATGGTGCACTATGACGACACTCCGGAACACCTAACTACTAACGAAAGATGGATAATCAACTAACTCCCTCAAATGGAGGTTCGAGCCTAGGCTTCGATCGAAATCCGATAAAGGGACTTACCCAAAGGAAGGGAAAAGGATACGAGATTTGTTCATCTTTATTAATATATGTTAACAGTGTTAACAAAAATAATTAATTCACGAAAACATTGTCTGCAAAATAAATGGTTTTATAATTAATCTCTAGCGTAAGTAAATCGCGCGTAGGCCGCGACTCTCGGTGAGAAGGGTGTTATAAGTTTGACGTGCTCGTCTTTAATTTGTTTGTGTCTGTGGCATGGCGTCGTAGCTTTTAAACGAATGGACTGATTAAGGTGTGATTTTTTTGGTGTGCAAATTTGATTTAAATCGGTTAAGTAATTTAGGAGTCCATCGCGGACAAACAACGTGTCTCGTAATCTATATATCTTAAGATGATGTCCTAAATTTTTGTAAAAAATACTTTTATGACTGTCCTTCAAACTGCATGACAGAAACAGAAAAAAAACTCATCGGTTTCATTTTTCCTTTAATAGTGTCCGCAAGACGAAATTCTGTTTCTTTCTTGTTTTTATCATTCCCTAATTACGGACCACGGCGGGGGTCATTGAGGGCACTTCGTTATAAAATTGTTTAATTAACTCGGAACAACGGGAAAACCATTTGCGATTTTCGTACACTGCCATATCAACAAGCGTGTGACCGCAAGCCGCCGTCCTCGCTTATCGCTGTGTGAACAATAAACAACGTCTTCATTTAAATATTATACATATGTTTCGTTATCGTTCGTTTTTTTATGTAAGAAAATGGAAAGCTAACTGGCGGGACACCTGATGTTAAGTGATAACCGCCGCCCATGGACATTTGTAATACCCGTAGGGTTGCAGATACGTTACCACCTTTTAATCAAGTGGGACACGGCTAGCTCACTCGCCAGACGAAACGCAGTCCCGTCACCAACAGACCCCTACCGCTAGGTACGTTGCGCCGCAAATATAAAAATTTGCCACGACACGTCCCCGATTTCCCTGAGACAACTATCGCCATCAACAGGTTAAAACAACTGCGTAAACACAAGACACACTGCACTCGCGGCGAGGCAGGCTACTGCCTTAGTTCCCGGTTACTCGAAATAATCAATCAATACGTGCAAGAAGAATATTTAACCCATCTCAAATAATACATACAATAAATACGCTAAATTGTTTAAAAGCGAATGCCCAACTAGTTCGTTTGGGTAATTTTATAATCAGACGTGTCTGTTATTACTAAACAGGTCGTCAGTCTAAATGTTGTCGCGCATTAATGTCCAAGAATAAGCTCAAGGTCAATAAAATGTTATACAATCCAGTTTAGATGTATTTCAATTGTTAATAAAATATTAGTGACTTTGGAACGTGACACGGTTCACAAACCTTATCACTGCACTTCCGTAGTCGTCAAATGGACTGTGGCATGGAATGGACCATTTGTGGCCACAATTACTGCACGTTAGTGATAAATAATTTTGTCAATATAAAATTATTTATCACTATCAATATATTGTTTTTATTGATAAAATAGTGTGTGTTTGTTGCAAGAGTGATTGGATTTTACCTGAACTCGTGGAAACACTTACGTTGATTTATAATATTTAATATATACATACATATATACTTTGTACTTGCACTTTATAATTTTGCGATAGTTTTGTCTACACATTTTTAAGTTTCATGTTAAGTGCGGAGACTAGCAATAAAAATTTAATTTGCTAAGGTAAAGAAATGAGGGGAAGTACCACAACCTCACAGAAGAGCAGCGTGATTATATATTTTTTTGGATGGATACTCACTATTGGCCTTGAGTAGGCCTTTCCAGATCCACCGGGCTTGAGGTGGCCAGACGCTGAGGGCGCCTAGCCTGTATTATAGGTGACTAAGCTCGAGGGCTCCCGAGGGCGTCTCGGCTCGGGCCTTCACGCTATTATTATTATCACCGGTTTGGGAGGCAGCCAAGCTCTTAGGTCGCTTTGGCGGGCGCTCCATGGAGTAACGAGGCTCAAAGGTGCTCGAGAGGGGACCTCGGCTTGGGTTTTTACTCAGTACCCGTTTAGCATTCCGATTCGAGGGTGCCCGAGAGGGCCGGACCTCGGCTCGATCGGTAGCTATTATCTGACTGGGGGAATTACTAGAGCTAACATTACTACCACTTCGGAGAGCGTTGGCGCTGGGAGAAGTGGCGGAAGAAACTCCAGCAACGCTTCTATCATTAATAGGGGAAAACCTGCCAGGTACGTGGCGGAACCTAGTATATGTTTGCCGCACTCGCCGGCGAGTGCGGTGTGTGTGTTGGTGTGTTTCTTGAGTTTTTTTGATCCTTTCGATGGCGATAGTCGTCTCATCGTCAGGGAAGTCGAGAACGTGACGCGGTCTTCGGTAATCGCGGCGGAAAATATTTAGCGGCAAGGGCCTGTAGGTGACGGCACCTACGATAAGTGGGTTGGGATGCGCGGCGGCGGAATCGAAATATCGGCGCGACGCCGACTTCAGGAATTGCGCGATGGTGGGCAATTCTAGATCGACATGTAGGTCGATATTGCGCATGAACCAGGGTGCTCCCGTCGCTCTGCGCAAGAATCGATTTTGAATCACCTGAAGCCGGTGTATTTGCTTCGGAGCAATGTGAGCGAAGACGGCACCACGGCTCGAACGGGATGCGATCGAACAAACGCCCTCGACGCGATAGCGAAAGGTTCGATTCGTTAGGAAGTCTCGTATTATGCATACGAGACGGTCAGGCACTCCGTACCCGTATAGCTTGTATACGAACCCGTTGTGCCAGACTTTGTCGAACGCTTTTGCCACGTCCAGGAAGAGTGCACCGGTGTCGAGTCCACGTTGGCGTTTGGTTAATATGTGCTCCGTGATGCGGTGCACTTGGTGGGTACACAAGTGTTTGGCTCTGAATCCAAACTGCTCTGGGATGGGGAGCCCTTTGGTGTCCATAAGGGATCTTAAGCGGGCTAATATTAGTCTTTCAAAGATCTTCCCAAATGTTTTGAGAAGATTTATTGGACGATATGAGGTTGGGGGAATGGCGGGTTTAGAGGGTTTGAGGAACCCTATGACATCGGCTTCCTTCCATTTGGATGGGAAGAAGCCTTCGGTTAAGGCCGCGTTGTAAATTAATACTAGTATCTGAAGGATGCTAGTAGGGAGGAGCTTGGTCACCTTATTGGTGATTCCATCTGAGCCTGGTGCTTTGCGGGGGCGTAGTTTTTTAATGGTCTCTACTAGTTCTAGGCACGTGACCGGGAGAACGGGATCGCGGAGTGGCTCTAATGCTTTCCTTTCTACCTCTTCGTTCACCTTGCAGAGGTGTTCGGGGTCGATCGGAAGCAGACTGGGGGAGCATTGAGACTCTAGGCTGTCAGCCAGGCATTCGGCCTTCTCTTCGTCCAGCATTGCTGGCGTACCTATCGGACGGAGGCCGCCCGATTACCGACGGAGCTATTATAACATTCTTTTTTCGGCGAAATTTACCGTCGTATTCGAGTGATATTTTTTATTCCCCGAAAACTGGGATAAAACGACAATTTCTAAAAATGAAACCAAGCCAGATCAATTTTTGCCCCCCAATCTACGCACATACTAAATTTCATGAAAATCGTTGGAGCCGTTTCTGAGATTCCGATTATGTATATATACAGCGTGTCTTTAACATCGCGACAATAAATGAACACACATATAGAGTATAACTTTTTGAAATTGTATTAAAGATTTACATTCTTTAAACATCAATATCTAACGAGTTATCAAAATTTCCAAAACAAAGAATTTTAGAACATCCTTACAAACTTTAATGTAAAGTTCATTTGTAAAGGTCAAAAAGCATATGAATGGGTTGAATGAATAGAGACAAAACATACTATTAGAAGGAGAGGCTTGTAATGCAACGCCGTGGCAACGAATGAAAAAGTCTCTGAATGCATGGATCAGTCAGTTGTAGTTGTATAGTATGTTACAAATTTTGTTTCTTTTTTACTTAATTAGTTTGTTTGAAAAATATATTTTTTTTACTTATGGATTTTTTTTAAAGTTAATATTTTAATATGATTATTGGCAAGTTGCGTTAGACGTGTGTTCATTTATTGCCGCGATGGTAACGACACGCTGTATACTATACGACTATGTATACTATCCGACTATATATATATATGTCGTATATATATATATATATATATATACGACTATATATATATATATATATATATATATATATATATATATATACCTTCTCTTCCTCAGGTGAGGAAGGCAAGAGCAACGGAGACGGATCCAGCCAGCCGACGCACGACGACGGAGTCGGCACCGACGACGGTAAATGGCTGTGGCCCTCTGTCGACGAGGCTGACCATCCTTACGGTGACTGGATGCACGATTACTCACCGACCGCCTCGCCCTAACGCGGGCCCACCTCATCACAACTTCACGGACCTCTCATCCCGCACTTAAAAGCTTCCAAAGTCCCGAAAGACTGAATTTAAAGAGTTCCCATCGGATCCAATGCCCATAAATGACACGAATCGCTCTCGCGCACGTTTCGAGTTTCCTTTCTCATTAAAACTTCCATTTTATTCCAAAGTGCACTGGTCATTAAGAATGTCTAATTACATATGCATCCTTCATTGGTGGACATGATTTCTCATCCTACATTATAATATTTTCCTCTTTATTACAATTGAAACTTGAAAACGTCTCTATCAAACTTTGAAAGATTTTTGTACTTTCTTTACTTTACTGTCGTTTTTGCTTTCAGTCCGTAGACCATCTAAACTTCATTCCACACAAAATTGTGGGTTAGCCAGAGCCCACGAGCTTCTTTAAGATTATTCTTATTAGATATATTCTTATTAGACCCTATAAATTTGTTTCAATATAATTAATTTCATAGATTTACGCAAATTGTATACAAAATACAAATAAAATACTTTAAGGATTTTATCGCGTTTTTTGGTCCACGGTCCGTCCGGATTTTGAGGTGCTTGAAACCGTAGTAACCTAAAAGTTAACTAAAAGCGGCATAAAATAGTTTAGGTTATAATAATAGTAAATTCAATCAGAATTATACGACTTATTTTTTTATGTGACGAAGTGGCAAACGAGCTGGCGGATGATGTTAAGTGATAACCGCCGCCCATGGACATTTGCAACACCCGTAGGGTTGCAGATGCGTTGTCACCTTTAAATAAGTCACTGCGCTTTTCTCGTGTTGAAAAAATTTTTGGAGTAACTGCCTATAATAATAGGGACAGTAATGCGAGTCAGCTTAGGTATGTGGAGGGTGCATGTCGCATGTTAAGGTGATAAGACACTGGTTACAGCTCACACAGTGGTTGTTATTGGAGTTGGTATGTTTGGCAAATAATCACTTTATTGGTATTCCAAATTCCATTACACGCCGAAAACTCTAAATACACAAATACCCAGAATGACCAACAAATGAGAAAATTGTCACATGACCTGAACACTTGCATGTACTTAAAACACTTGGCCGCATGACACTTAATAACGAATATACATACTAAGTAGGAAATAAATATGTAATAAATTAAAGGAAAATTAAAAAAATTTAAAACGGGGACTGCATGTCTGACCTCAGCATATCAATTTAATAACAACAATTGGAAACTCAGCGTCTATAGTCAGTTGGATTGACTTAGCTCAATGTAAATCTTAAACCAATAATTAGGTTTTTGAGCACCATTATTTTGCATGCAGTATAAAACTCACTTTGCTGAGGCAGAAAGGTATTTACCTACTTACTTAGATATTTAGCTAAGTCGTAAATAGTATCACAAAGTCCAACGTTCCCAATTTAAGGTTAATAGTACTTGTGTTATAAAAGTAGCCGATTTAATCTTGTCTATTTCAATGACAATATTTAAGATTATGGTTTTAAATAATATGTATGTCCTCTAGGTGTGACCTCTCTGATGGTTCTTTTGGGTGGATTTCCTCTGATAGCTTTACATAGAGTTCTTAACTGAAGTACAAATGTTGCGAATCTCGTACATCATTATAGCTCGCTATCTGGCTGTACTGAATTAAAAGCAGAGCCGAAATCAATCATTATAATTTTATTGTTTGAATAAATTGTTAGAATAGGCTAAGCAAAGGTTGATATGTGGAAAATGAGTTGGTTCTTTTAACTATACAGTATACAAATGTTTAATATTTTGAATCTTCGCAGTAACATGTACGTACCTACATCCAAAGAAAAAAAATCTTGGAACTTAACCGCCATAACAAAAAATTCTGGCATTTTTCCTGAAAGGCGAAACTGTTCAGAAATATAAAATTAATAATTTTTTAAATGTTTTGTGGTAAATATCTTATAATTATAATTAACCAAAAACAAAGTTAATTGCTTTCGTTTAAACGGTATTTTAGTACATTTTCCTTCCTGTAGAGTTATAAATAACATTACTCAATGAAATGTTCCATCGCTCGTCATCAATTCAATATGTCACTCTTTTGCAAATCATTTAAACATGTAAATGACCCATTAGAATCTATAGTATTGGTCTTTCAGTTATAGTCAACTCTTGTTTTGTGTTCAAACACTTCGTATGTTAGATATGGCTACTCATAATTTTTATAATGAACTATAAAATTTGGTAACTAACTCCTACTATACGGAAAATTCATAGGCCTCCTGGTGAAAATATGTACGTGTTTTGTCATATTTTTTTTATGCGAAAAGTTGTCAAACGAGCAGACGGTTCACCTGATGTTAAGTGAATACCGCCGCCCATGGACATCTGCCACACCCGAGGGTTACAGATGCTTTGACAACCTTTTGAAAATTGAGCTCCGGCTACCTCACTCACCAGACGAAACGCAAGTATTCATCATATTTCCACTTTACACTGGTCTTCTGTGAGGTCGTGGTACTTACCCGGACGGACCTGCCCATTCGTGCAACAGCCGAGGGTGCTGCGTGGCCCTACCACTGTGAAAATCGATATCGATAAATCATATATTTATTTGTGACGTTTTAATTAAAACCATTAGACGTTAAATTTAGGTAGTTTTAAATGTAGCTTTTTAAGTGTAATAAACACCGCAATAAATATAAACAGCGGCAGTAAAGATAATACTAAAAATTATTACTTAACGAGAGCAAGAAGCTTGTCGCACTCTTATCTCCGCATCCGCGAAGGTTGCAAACGAGCTGGTGGGTTACTTGATATTATGTGATAACCGCCACCCATTGACAAATTCAACACCCGTAGGGTTGCTGATACGTTGCACCTTTCCCCAGTGGGCCCCAGCTGCCACACTTACCAGACGAAACGCAGAAGTATACTTCCACTTCACGCCGTTCTTCTGTGAGGTCGTGGTACTTACCCGGACGGACCTCCTCATTCGTGCAACAGGGAAGAGTGTTGCGTGGCAATACATTTATGATGATGTTGTGATTAATATATAAAAATAAAAAGACGAGATAAGATTTTTCGTTGTGGGCGGACGGAAAGACAAAATATAAATAAGCGGTTATAGTTTGGTTCTACCATTAGGCGACGGTTAACTAATTAAAATGTAATCTTAAATGAACGAGCACGTTTGGTACGTTTCAGATGGAGTTAATGGTCTTGAACCTAGATTTGGCATTGACGACCGGCCCGGCTCGCCTTTTCCGCCAGGAGTAAGTATATAAGTAATATAAACAAAAAACCTTTCTTAAGGGTGGACAGGTCCTAAGAGCCATTTGACAGTTTATTCTGTTTTATATAAAGATTATAGTTTAGATGACGTTGCAATTGTTCAATACGATGATAAATTGCTGGTGTTAATGCCTTCTGCCAATAAGTAATCTACAAGACGCAAGCTTTAGTTTATATTTATGTAAAACTTTGGCACCATATTCTATGCTTACAGTGTCAAAAACTATAAGATCGTAGAGAAGTACAACGGTGTTGGTATATTTTTCAGTCGATCCCGGACGTTAACACGTACCAGCAGAAAAAGAACCTGGCGCAGGGCATGATGGATCTCGCGCTGCTGTCAGCTAACGCCAACCAGTTGCGCTACGTTCTGGAGTCTTCTACGAACCATCCATATTTCTATCCCAGTATTGTCTTCATATCCGTAAGCATTATCCTACAGGTTAGTGTTCATCAACCTATCCCATCACTATTTCAAATAGTTACTTGGCAATAATTTTGACTGCGGGTAATTTGGTCATAAATTCAATTAAATTATTGACAAGCATTGGATAAACTCACGTGTAATCTTCGTTCTGAGGTTGAAAGGTTAATTAAAATGTAGAAGACAGTGAAAAACGATGATAAAAATAAATGACATAATATAGATAATTGTTATCTTTATTTTAACTACCAAGACCTTCAACGTCTTCTTTTAGAAAACATATATCATAAAAATTAAAGGAAGATACTAACATCACAAACTCTACATCTTAATTTCACGACCATAAACTTCGCAATTAGAGCCACGGGTTGAAGTCACCTGAATGAATATTACAATTATTTTACTTGTATGGAACATCTATTTACATGTTTAACATTAACGAATATATTAATACTTTATAGATAGCAGTGGGGGTAGGTCTGATCATGAACAGCAGATACAACGTGAAGGACGATAAGGATATCTGCAAGGCTGACAAGATCAACAACATGACCGTGCTGGGCGTGTTTTTGGTCACCATCGTTAATGTGTTCATCACGTCATTCAGCGTGGCAACGCCAACCACGGGATCCGTGGTGAATGGGGCGATAGTGCAGCAAGCTGGATAGAATATAATTAGACGTAAAAGATTGGGTTTACCATTTGGCACTAGCCATTCGGCCTCTTGAATTATTCATCGTGCTTCCAGTAATGAAACTCAGTGCAATTTGTAACAAGGTTCCATTTGATTCAAGACTTATTCTATGGGTTTATAGAATCCAGTTATTAAGAAATAATAACTTTAGTTTATGCCTTCCAATATTTTCATATATTTATCATTTATAACCCATTTAATTTTGTAATACTCCATAAGATCATTAATTTATTACAGATATTGTAATTATCAATTTTAAAGATCTCATTTTAAATAACAAACAATTAAGAAAAGTTTTCTGCAATATTTCATTTACATGAATTGCATTAACAAGATATATTCAAAAATAACACTATCAAATTGTAAAATAATTAAATGATGTTTCAGCATCAAGCAAACACATTCGTCGGCTAAGACTGGATTAATGTTAATATTAGACACTAATGTATAATTACTTTTTGTAACATATAACTTTTTATATCACTTGTTATTATTTTAGTCAGTTTTTACAATAGTCGTTATTTCATCTTTATTTGATACTATTTAAATAGATTTTATATTTCTTGTTAAATTTAGGCATTAGTCTGCTTCTTTCTTCCATCATTCTTTTAGATAGCAGTCTTTTAAAATATCTTAAATTCACCGTGTAAGAGTATTATGATATCACCGATTATACTATTCTACTCCAGCAAATCCTTGCATCAACTTTCGAATATATTTCTTATTTTTTTTTATATATTCACGCACTTCACGGAATCTCGCTTTAACTTCTTGCATTATTATGTATATAATATTATTTTGATGTAGTTGTAAAAACATATCAGACCTCTTTATTTAATTCACACAATAAGTGATATCTATGAAATATTGCTCAAGTGTGTGATTTGCTATTTGTAAATGAACTTGTTACACATGTAATGGTGCTATATAACGAAATTAGTTCTTAAATATAATAATAAGAGTAAAAATGAGACAAATAAATTGTATATTTGTCTTATTTTTTCATTAATTACAAAAAATATGTAACATTTTGCGTTCATACAATTGATGATAAATACATTTCATTTAGAAACCTTTTCTAGCAACAGACTTTCTGTACTTAAATGACACATGTAATTAGTTATGTACTGAATTATTTGGTTACCGCAGATAATTTAGTTAAGTGTTCAATCTACTCTGCTAATTAAGTTTTTAAATATAACACATTGAATAAAATTTGGTAGGCCTCCCTCTGGGTAGACCGCCGACATCGTAAGAATCGCGGGCAACCGGTGGATGAAAATGGCAGAGTGTCATTCCTTGTGGCGTTCTAAGGGGGAGGCCTATGTTCAACGGTGGACGTCTTGCGGCTGATGGTCATGATGATGATGAAATAAAAGTTTTAAGTGACTATAGAACTGGACACAAGCAAAAGTTTCGTTCAGTTTCCCCTACTTGATGTACTTTCGATTCTAATTTCTATAATTTAGCTGTTTGTTATTTGATGTGTTTGTCATTCATATTGTAAAGTGATAGTTGAGTGTGTTAAATTTATTTGTGTGTGCGGACAACTTGAAATTCTATTAAGTCTAAATTAAAAATGATAACATATATTTATTTATGTTATAAACAAAGGAAAATGATAATCTCAATGGAGACAAATCTCGCATTTAATAATTAGTCTCGATGAAAAGCACTTTTGTATGGATCTGTATTTATTACTTTTAAGATTTCTACCAAAACTTATTTAGTGTTGCGACATAAGGATATAACCTACTGCATTTAATGTGGGTACTTAATTTTGATTTTTTATTGTCGATTGTAAAAAGAGGATTAAATAATTATAAAATGCATATTTATACTGCAATGATTTTTATTTCATTTTTAGTTTTGTCTTTTTTGCAAAATCTGGAGTCATCGTCCTTTTTTATTACTCCTAAAAAATTGTTTTGGCGAGACTATAAAATAGAACCTCATTATCCGCATTAAAGCATAACTGATATTGATTTGTTTGTTCTCGAAAATAAAAAAAAATGTACTCATGCAAAAGAAGTTAATTTTGACTTTTAGCAGCGATTAGACTACGATAATTAGGGCCCTAAAAATTGGCGTGGTAGAAATTGGAATAAAGGTTCAATAAACATTCTGTTTACACTGGCATAATTAGGCTGGCAATTTCAGTCGGCAGATGCCATCCAAAACAATCGGCCCAGTGGAACGTGTATCATCATGTCAACATAGTTATAAAAATATCAAAAATGATGGAAAATATGCTGGATGAAAAAATATTTACTTCTAGGAAATAAATTGTCACATGTCAAAATTCCAGAGCATTTATTTTAGTGGTACAGCCAAGCAACTGTCTTCGCTGTTGCGCTTCACTTGCAATGGACAGATCCGTTCGAAGAAGTACCATAACCTCACAGAAGACCGGCGTGACGTGGAACTGTTATACTTCTGCGTTTTGTTTGGTGAGTGAGTGAGTTAACCGGGGCCCAATTTATTAAAAGGTGGCAACGCATCTGCATCTCTACGCGTGTTGTTAATTATATTTATATACCAACGGACCGGACAGACGTTCAAAATGAGTTCATCCGCCGCGCAACCGGTGCGCAGTGGTATCAACGCAATGTCGACCTGCACAGTGACACTGCAGACTCCCGACGATTCGCGAATATTTTAAAGATCTCACTCTCTAAAGGTGGTGTGCAGCAAATTGCTAATCCAGCACTAACGCGAACGTCAACAAGCGTCGCCCGCGCAAAGTTCTCATCGACCCGGTCGAGGAAGGGGACTTAAGTACGTCGGACCGACCGTCGGGGAATCCGCCAAATAACACTGCACACTCAGTTAGTGCATCAACAAACAGTATAGTTCGTCCTCGCCTTCGAGCACAGCGAAACCAACTCTATGCCTACATTAGATACACAGGGGCCGGCCGTTCTCCATCCGGGCCTCAAACCCGTTGTTCTGCGTTCGATGAAGCTTTAAAAAAACAAAAAAAACCGGCAGCAATAAAAAATAAATCAATTTAAAAAAAGTTATAGTCCATCGAATAGTGAATCTAAACCGTTCTCAAATCTACCTGAAGACACACAAAAAAATTAGAATTACACATTAGAATCGGTCCGGCCGTTTAGAAGTTCAGTGACATACACACGTAAGGAAGAATTATATATGTAAAGAAAGCAGACTAGCGGAACAACAGACTTTGTCCTATACACAACGAATAAACAAAAAAAAATAAAAAAAACATTGTAGTGAACCGAATTTTGAATCTAAACCACTCTAGAATCTACCTGAAGACACACAAAAAATTCATTAAAATTGGCCCAGCCGTTTAGGAGTTCAATGACATACACAAGTACAGAAGAATTATATATATAAAGATATCTGCGGGCGGCGGTTATCATTTAAGGTAAGGTAACACACCTAACGCAGAATTCGTTAGGTGTTTCATTATCTAATTTTAAAATCCTTAGAATCATAATTATGTAGACTCGGCCCTGTTCTTACGACATCTTATAGACCTTTCGCAAAACTTTTTGTGGTCTGGTATCGTCACGGAAAAGTAAAAAGTGAAAGCATTTTTCGCGTGTGTACTTTTCCCTAATCAAAAACGCAAATACGGAGATATACTTAACATTGGTAATCTGTTTAACGCCTGGGTTACTTTCTTGGAGAACAATCTTTGAATGCATCGCCCATTGGGTCGGTTTAAGTAAGAATTTTGAAGTTAGAGATTTTCATTTTTTTAGTGCTAATCTCTGCACTTAATATTAAAAATTAAAATTTTGTAAAACGAAACGTTTCTCGCCGCTGTGGGAATCTTTGCCTTCAAAATTCTTACGTTCGTTTGTTGCCAAGTCATTGGTGTGCAAGATGTTGTTGATTTTTGGTAGCAGATTAGATTTTTTTAGAATTCATATCTTCAAGAAATGAGGATGACTTCTTGGCGCAGTTACTAAGAAGCTATCGGCGTTGGGAATTTCGGTTAGATTCCCACACGGGACAAGTATTGTCTGTTGTGACCAACGCATAAGTTCTTAAGAAGAGTCGACGTCAGACTGGCGGCCGGCTAAAATTCTAGGCAATGCACCAACAACATGATTCACATTTTGTGCCGACCCCACCTAGGTGGGATAAAAGCAGCAGAAAGAAGGTCTTTTAGAAACGACAATCAACGTTAATATACAAAAACAAACTAAAATGTGGTAAAGCCACAATCTTTAATAAGGCCATGTATAGAGAACATGTTATCCAATATGTACCACGCTTTCAAGTACCAGTAGTTAGAACACCGTGGACATGGACACAACACAGAATGTATCCTCAGACTGACATCTGACAGTAGACCGGTGTGAAGAGGGAGTATAATAATTTCGCGTTTGGTCTGGTGAGCAACTTAAGCGGGACCCACTTCTTTCAAAAGTGGCAACACAACTATAACTGTCAGGTGCTGCAGTCGTCCATGGCGATGGTGACCCACTTCTTAATGACTGGCAACACAACTGTAACTCTCAGGTGATGAAGTTGTCCATTGCGATGGTATTAAACCATCATCAGGTGAACCGCCTGGTTCGTTGGCCAACTTTTCATATAATAATTTTTAACAAACAAAAACCGACTTCAATCAGAAAATTAAAAACATTGTTAATGCCTATATCATTCAATGAAGGCCCTCGATTTCTCTGGGATGCCATCATCAGATCCGGGTTTCCTTATCATGGTACCACCCATGGGATATCTCCTTTCCGACAAAAAAAGAATCATCAAGATCGGTTCACAAACGACGAAGTTATCCGCGAACACACATAAAAAAAATAAAACTATATACGGTCGAATTGAGAAACCTCCTCCTTTTTTGAAGTCGGTTAAAAATAGAACATATTGTGCCTTTAGGAAAGCTTGGAAACGAATGCACAAGCGCTCATTTCGCTATTTCATCAATTAAAAAAAAGTGTAATGTAATTTTTATCCTTAAATTCCAGT